CACAACCATGGCTTTTGTGGGTTACAACACAACCATGGCTTTTGTGGGTTATCTCACTACGGTTGTTACAACCACTTCCCAGACGTGCCCGATCGCCCTCTTTAAGTGGCATAGCGTCATGTAGCTTTGAGTCCTCAAAAAGTCCATTGGGAGGGATACTGACTCCTCCGCCCTACCCGGGGTCCCGAAAATGACGTTTCTCGCCAAAGGGAGTGTGTTGGGAAGCTCGTATGTGTGTTTAAGGGTAGCGCTTGCGGACACGTGGGGTTGCTCAAGACGCAGCGCTTTAAAAAGTCAACTATCGGAAGTTCATGCAGGAAATGCCCTTCCTGCCACTGACATGTGGGAGGTTACCTGGAAGATCAGTTTCCTCTTGAAGAGACCATTCCCCTGCAGCTTTCTATGAATATCATGGAGCTTGGTTTGTGATGAGAATACGCACCACCCTCGCGGGCCCTGCATGAGACTCCGTGGTGGTCTGAGCGCTTCTCGTGCAGGAATTGTCGCTTTGAAGTCTGGGCTGCAGTACAAGGCTGGGAGTGTCATGCCTGAACAGGGATATTTTATGTTTTTCCTTGTTGGCCCTATCCTGGCGAGTGGGACTTCAATGGGAAGTAGCTGGAATATCCGAATGAACCGGTCAAGGGTTGAGGCAGTAGGGTGCCAATATATTGGAGCTTGCAGCAGCAACACCTTCCTGAGTTGAGCAATGTGTCGGTAAAAACGGTTCAACTCCCTAGGCGCCTCTTTTGAGTCCATTGGTTGCCCATGACTTGTGTGCGACTATTTGCATGTGTTAAGTCAAGTCGATATTTGGCAACACCGCTTCGCAGCACGTGCTGCCACCCAAGCAATCAGAAGAAGCACTGCTACCTGGTGGTTTCCCAATACCTTTGGGACTTGTGATGATCCAATGCTGTACGCTTTGCGCTCCGCTGTGATGAGCTTAGCCTTTCCAACTTGCCAATGCACAGGTTCGGCGGCTTCGGTTGCAAGTGAGGTTTGGTCAAGAACGGTTCATGTGGGAGGGACATGAGGGGGGGACTCACGAAATCTCCAAAAAACAAACCAGGGGAATCACTCAGCTTCTCATGTCCTCTTGGGCAACAAGCACAAGTTTGACCGTGGCTCATGTGGAGCAGCATGCAGGTTTTGAACAAGGGCAGCGGCAAGTTCCACCCAAAGAAGGCCGGTACGCGCTGCCTACTGCCAGCGATGTATGGGTCGATACGTCGATTGCGTTATTTGGCCTAGGGACAGGGGCTAGCTGGGTCTACTGAACTATAGTTATGAGAGCATGAGTGTACTTCTGCGCGTGTCAGTACGACAGGTGCGTCAGCAAGCAACATGCAGGTAAGAAGCAGGGTCTCCAAGCTCGTTGAGCAAGGTGCCGTTTGCCCCCTCAGGGCCACACTCTTGCATTCTTGCAGTTGTGGAGATACGTGCGCATACTGGGCACTGGCTGATGCCGGTTTTGCCTGGTACTTGTTTGCCCCCTAAATATTTGCCTGGGACTCTGAGCAGGACTTTCATTTTGAAAGCTCAATTTCAACAAGCACAAGCCAGCCCTTTGCTTGTACTTTCCTGGTCAGGCTTTGAAGGTTACGTAGCCTTGGGTTAAGGATGCAACAATTTATTGGCTGGGGAAGCTAGCTTGAGGCTTGAGCATAGGTTGCGAACGCCTGCTTGTCCGACATCCAAGACTGCCTTGAGGGAGTGAAAAGGATTTCTTGGCACAATGCTCCGCAACAACAGCAGTGTACTGTGGATCGACAAAATCCTGCGCCATTTGGGATGGGAAAGCCACCTACAACCCACCACCTGGTGCGAGGTGGATTGTCCATCCACAGTGAGATGGTTTTATTTGTTTTGGCCGCCTCGCTCGACGCCTGCATACTTCACTTGCGGATGTAAGGCAATGGTTTGTTGCCATGAATGTACGGCATCAGTTTGGAGTTGTTTTCGTTGGCGCCAGTTGCTATGTCCTTAGCGGCATTACTGCGACTTACACTGTTGGCTTGAGGGACGCCAACTTGCTTTTCATGTTTCTCTGGGACGCTAAGCTGCCACTTTTAGCTTTCCACGGATTACTTATTTTGTTTTTCACTGAACGATGAATCGTGTACTTAGTGACTGGAATTCTTTGAGTAATCCCAGCATCTCACAAAACAAACACAAGCCAGCTTACTCGAAGGCCTACACAGACTTGTTGAAGTCGCTGCCGTTTTAGGTCGGCATTTGCTTGCCGTGGGGATTCCAACTTGGAATCGACGACTCTGTGTAAGTTACGCTGGCGCCAATTCCTAGGCCAAAGTTGGCCCCGCCGTAGTCTTGCCGCGCACCCAGGACACAACCTGCAGCTGCCACTATGCGTGGGCCCCAAGGTTTACCGCGAGGTTCGCCAGGCCTGGGGGGATTAAATCTTACGACCGCGGTGGCTTTATGCGACCTCCTGGAAGGTTAAATGAGTTTGTTTCTGTTAAAATTTCTGCCCTAGGTTTGGCGAATGCTTGGCCTGGCCTCATGTGGCTTCATGGCTTATGGCCAGGCAGTCACTTGTTGAAGTCGTTGCCAACCCCGACTTGACTGCTATTGAGTTGAATCTTTAGACTTTATTTTTTTTGGGGGGGAAATCAACATGTTTTCCACTAACCCCCCCAAAAAGTTAAGCTTTTTGCGGGGGTCAACAGCAACCAAGCCGACAACTATTGTGGGGGAGCATTGTTCTGCGATCCCCGTGTGCGCAATGCAGCGACTTCGCTGCGATTTGCAATTGGCTCTCCGAACTCAAAGGCGGGACTGGCCTAACAAAGTGTTGTCACAAGGAGGGTCTTGTATGGTCTTGTATCAGTATATTTCACCTTTGTTGTGTGGTATTTGCCAAGGATTTTGCAACTGGAGTCTCCCAGTGCTTGTTTCGATTCGTAATTCACGGTGCCGTTTTGATTGCCTTGATTTGCAAACTGCGGAGATCTGCCCGAGAGACAAATCCCAATACCGGTACGTATATCATAATGAGCAATATCCATATTGTGTTGTTATCCTTTTTATTGTTTTGCGCCATACGCAAACCACAAAACAAGTCCAGGCACATTTCGCAGCGAACCCGAGCCCTTTCCTGATAGGCTGGCACCACACTGAGCCTCACGCCCAACGCGATCGATTTGCCCGAAGATCAGTGGAGCGAGCGCGGGGCCTGCTGGAATCGGGAGTGATTGCTTTGCCTGCTTGTCAGTGACCTCACTCTGTCAGGCTCCTAGGCTTTATGCTCTTTGCAAACAACAACAAAAAGCATTTCTCGGCCTCCTCCAAAAACTTGTTTTTGGGATAGGCTAAATGTGAAACATAAATCAGGAAATGTGACTTTTTGTGCACCCCAGATTGCTGGCAAACACACAAAGTTTGGGCTGTGTTTGCCCAATCCAGTCAGGAAGCGAGTGATTACATTCATCGTAGTCACTTAGAAGATCACGTTCTTCTCGGCTGTCCTTCAGGTGTCATGTTGGCGGTGCTGTGTGCTTCTTGTTTCTTCTTGGGTGCACCCACACTCTTTGACCCCAAGGTTCGGTTTTGACCTTGGCCCTCACCAAATGTCAATCTAGCGGAACGTCAATGTGTACCACTTTTCCCAGACTCGCGAGATTCGCCATGGGTGGTTTTAAAAGGGAACCATTGGATTCATAGGACAGTGCCGCAAGGGCTGCATATTGGTGTTTCTTGAAATAGCAGTCCCCCCAAGCTGTTGGCTTTCCTTTTGGCTTCCCTCTACCAGCCAAGAGGGGGTCCACTTTTTTTTGTTGGGCTGACAGGTTGCAGATGTGAGGAATCATAAGCCACGGATCTCAGGGGGTCCGGAGCTCCTCATTGCCGACCACGGGAGTCCGGGGTTCGTAAAGCGAAAGACGATGCACGCGGGGAGGTCACGTGTGGGCATTCCTCATGTTAGGGGGATGGTAGGCATTGTGAATAAGACACCTTATTCATTTGGGGTTGCCAGCGTACAAGTATAAGTATGTATACTGTATAACAGATAGATAGATAGATAGATAGATAGATAGATATATGTATTTCCATATGCACATTCACATTGTACTTACCAACAAAACTCCCCCATTCCTGGCATCATGTGGCATCATGTGGTGCATTTGTTTCACCTCGTGTGGAACAAGCGTAGACTTGCACAGGCGACCCATGCTACTTGATGCTTGAGTGGCTTAAGCCCCTTTTTGCATCCTCGATGTTTGACAGAATGTCAAGCAGCATGCATCTTCTTATGCATTGCTGGTGTTTGCCGACGCTTGTTCGCTGAGCCCGTCTTAGGTTCGACTCTTCTTACAAGAGAGGGTCGCCGACGGACTTCGCGCCGAATCAGGCCGGGCAAGCATTTGGTCTCGACAATTGAAAGAATGCTACAAGTGTCACCCCCCCCCACAATGAGAGGAGCTTTGACAGGCGCGAAACTCTTCTGAGGCCGCTGCTAGAAACAAGGCATTGCCCCTGATTGGTGCACAGAACTTGCGCAACATGGATATCCAGATATCTGAGATTCTTAAAGTCCCGTTCGGCCTGCCAACTCGAGGGACTTGGATTCGGCTGGCTCAAGGTACGCAACGGCCTGGCTTGTTCTGCCATTACGGATACCTATTACGCTACACGGTAGCTTGTGAACTGTGCGCCTGGTGAATATGCTCCTGTCGGAGCAAGGGATCTGAAGGCCCTAGGCATTTGAGCCACTTGCTGCGAGCCGCTAGTAAAATGCCGGGCGGGTGAAAACGAAACACCTCAACCCGCTTTTGGCCGTATCCAGGTCATCAAAGGCTGGACGGAGGCCATGCAACTCATGGTGCTGGCCTTAGCCTGTGTGGGCCCATGAACCGGGTACATTTTGTGGGGTGTTCATAAGGACGGGCCCTCATGTTAACACACCCAGATGGTGTTTGACAGAGGGAACGGCCATTGAAACAGCAAAGAATAGGAATCTGGATGTTAGAGCTCCTGTACATGAGTGGCTTGCGACCTTCCCCGTTGGAGACCAGGGTTGCAAGGAGAAGCTTCACTCACTGTGAAGATCGTTTCCCAAGTTTTGCGCGCAATAGGTGTTCGACAATGCCGGCTGGGCCGGCGCGCCAACATAGGTGAGTTTTATGAGGGTACCAGTGAATTTGAGGGAATCCAGTTTAAGGCTCTCCTGAGACAAACCCATCTGGGTCTTTTGTTGGGGACCCCCAAAAAAATGTGGATTTCCTTTTTGTTTCCTTTAAACCCACTATACCCACAGAGAAAAGGGAAAAACACAAACTATCAATCTCTCAATGCACATTGCGACGTCAGAACAACGAGAGCCTCAGGTTGAGGGGGACAAGTGGGAGCTTTACATCCCAGCGGACCTGGGCTCCAAGCTGAGTTTTTAAGTCAATCCGCTTTGTTGGGTGCGCATGTCAAATTTCTTTGGCACTGCAGCCACTCGGTTGTGAGTCAGACGAGGCTTTGCGGGATGTGACTTGACGGATTTCAGTGGCAACGTGACACCCACATACACATGCACACACACACACACTGTGACGAATCTCCGGAGACAATCCAGATCCGAACAGCGAGACTCATGGTTCCTCAACCCGTGGAAGCCGTGAAAAAGGATCAAGACAGCACCTGAGTGTTCGATAGCATGGCCCGTAGGTGACTGGACAACCGATCTTTGATTTCCCCGAGTTCCCTCTCTGAAGTGATCGCCCTTCACAGGCAAGACTAAGATGCTGCGCTGCCGAGGCTACGGAGATGGTGGTAGTGGTGAGAAGATCAAAGGCGTCTCGTGGGGTGCCAGGTTCCCCATGTGAGCAGCGTTTTTTTCTCAGATGATGGATTTTAGCTTCGCGGGGAACTCCCAAAAGCTCCGCGAAGGCACTTGTGCGATACATTGTGTACCGCGAAGCCCCGCGAAGCCACTTCGCGTAGCCCGGTAGCATTGACACAGGCGAAGCCACTTCGCGAAGCCACTTCGTGGTTTGAGTGTGTTGCGTGCTTTCATGGCAAGTGCGTTGCGCGCTTTCATGGCAATAGTATTCCAAAGGTTGATGTTTAGAGTCAGCAGGCTACGACGAGATTACAGGAAGATTGCGGGAAGAAGACCGGAAGAGCACTGTGCGTTTCAGGCCCGATTTTACTAGAAACGATGGAACGTTTTCGCGAAGCCTCCGCGAAGCCCCCGCGAAGCCTCCGCGAAGCCACCGCGAAGCCACCGCGGTCCAACTTCCATGCTCCGCCCCTTTGAGGCCCAGCCGCGTCCCCTAGTCCTGAAGCTCGATGCCTCTCTTGCCGCCTTTCATCGCCTTTCGCACGGTCAACTTGATTCCACAACATGGGGCGCAAACGTGAGAGATGTTTGTGGAACAAACATCCGCGAAGCACGCGAAGCCACAGTCTTGCCGCGAAGCCTCGCGAAGCCAACCCTTCCACAAACTCTGGCCCCGCGAAGCCCCCCGCGTAGCCTCCCCAGCAGTGCGTAAGCCCTGAACCTCTAAAAAAACAATACTCATGTGTCCATGTGGAATAAGAGGGGGCGCCCCGTTTGGGCCAGATATGCCCGCCCTTAAGGGTTTCAAAGGAACATCAAGAGACCACCCACTTCTGCTGAGACAAAGCCACATTCGTCTAGCTGGGCCTGGGGGTCGGATAAGTGATTCGTATGAAGTCGCGACGCACTGACCCGCGGGCTACGCACGCAGAGATAAATCAGCAAGACCCGCTCAATTCATCACACATCTGCTGTCTGCCTATTTTCGGGGGCGACCTCTGGAGAAAAGACGGGCTCACCATGGTGTATATATATATATATAGGTCCGTTACTTGAAATTATCTTACTGCAGGTCCTTTTGTTTTTGGCAGTATGGCCTAAGAACCGTGAGCAAGGCAAGTTGACCAAACGACTGACTTCATTCACGGGGGGGTGGGGGTGATTGGCCACTTCTTTGACATTCAATCCTCGAACAGGCAGGGCGTAGCTCCCCTAAGTAAATTTTCACACCAAAACCAATGTTGCCCACTTGCGCAATTGAGCAGCACCAACCATTATGAAAGGAGTTAATGGAGGGCCTGTCCTAACAAAGCCTCGCGAAAGCTAAAACGCAGGGCGCGAAAGCCCGCGAAAGCTGGCGGCGAAAGAAGTTGAAGAAGAGCCCGCCGCGAAGGCGTCGCGAAAGTGCATGTTGGCAAAGGACGACCACCGCGAAAGCTCCGCGAAAGTGATCATGACAAAACACATGCCCGCAAAAGTGAAACGTGTGGCCGCGAAAGCATCGCGAAAGGTTCCGCGAAAGGTTCCGCGAAAGCGGTTTGTTAGTAGAGGGTTTTATACACCTTATTTCCCCCTTGTTCGGGCCATTCGTCGGGAGGGCATGGAACAAGGCACTTCGTTTGTTGCATTGTGACCCTTCCCGCCAGAAGTGCGGCTTGAATTCCCTCCAGGCGGGGAAATGCTGATCTTCCGAATGGAGATGATGAAGA